TGGGCATAACAAGACAAAATGTGCCTGATGGATTGCCCTTCTTTAAAACTTTGGATGCACACAGTGGTAAGAGGAGGGGAAAACATTAAAGGTCAGCAACTTTTCCACCAAACACCAGTGGCAACAGCAGATAGAACTGAAAGAGGAGTAGGTGAAATTCAGTTTCAGACCCATCTGCTACATTATTTTCATGTTACTAATCATTCCCTTACATAATAAAAAGCTTGATCAAAAAACACAGAAATGTGTAAATACTGTAACTGACAGAGATTTTGTATAAAAGTCTCTTCTGTTACATGAATTGAATGCACAGCTGAGATCTTGCTCTCTGACCATTGACTTATAGTGCCTCTTCAGGCCTAAGACACTAGGCAAAAACAAAACAAAAAACAAACAACAAAAGCACAGCCTAGGGGTGGCCCCTGACAGTGGCCAAACCCTCTACTTGCTAGAGGCAGCTCAGTTTTTAGCCTAGTGTCAGGGCATAAGGACCTGAACTCCCCGCTGTGAACCTTTTGTTTACTCACTTTTTGCTGTTTTTTTCTTTCTTTTGCTGTTTTTTTTCCTTCAGTCTTCAATACGTACAATCAACAGCTGAGACGGCAACAGGCTGAATAATATAGATTCAGTAGAGACACCAGTGAGCTAAGTCAGTTTTGCAACTTGGTTTGTTAGTCCAGCCAGCTTGTCGAATGCCATGAACCCTTCCTTTGATCTACTGGCCTACGAGTATGGGCTGGGGTTGGAGTTGTCTTCATTCCTAGTTTTCTTTTCAGTTCCTCTATAGGGTTGCCAACCTGCTGAGCTAAGGAGGGCTCCTAGCCTACTTTTTAGTGCAGGGGCCTTGTTTTCTGTTGGGGTCAAGTGCTATGATTGTCTTGACAGCATGGGAGCTCCCAGGTGGTAGGTAATACCACCTGATTCAGGTGGGCAGCGCTGTGGTTGTAGTTTGTTTTGTTTTGGTATTATCTGTAATCTTGCTTGTACAATGGCGATAGAAAGGTTTCCATCTGGAGCTGTTTTTTCTTGTTCTACTCTTGCCTGTCTGTATTCAGCATTGAACTGCCCAGAGGCGCCTAACCTTTGCTGCCAGTCTGGTTCTAACAACTGGCTCCCTGTGCTTGTGAGTTTCCTAGCCTTCGAATTTTTCCAGTATTTTGTATGGATTTATCTCCTGATACTGGATCCTTGATTGGAGTAGCAATTGCTCTTTTTGGTTTTCAGTTCCTTAAGACCCAGTTTTCCGTGATGCTTTGGCCTGCTGGTTTATGGTGGGTACTATGTGGGTTCCTTCTCACTCTGAGCTTCTCTTCCTTTCCATGGTGATGACACTTGGTAGTGTTCTTGGGAGGTGGATCTCTCTGTAGTGATGAATCCTGGGGTGTGTTCGGCCTGCAGCCTTCTGTTACATCTTCCATCTCGTATGTATGGTTTTTCTTGTCAGTTGTGAGGAAAGCAGTTGTCCCGGGATAGTTTTCAGGAAAAGTCTCCTCTCGATATACTCTCTGATCTGTATCTTCGCTTGAGATTGGGTTCAGTCTGCAATGTCTCCTGAGTTGCTTTACTTTGCGTTTGGGACTTCTGGCTACCCATTCTTGATAGGCTTGTATATGAAACCCCTCTGATCTTACCCTGGAATATAGCGGTATTGATATCTGACACTTTTTTTCCCCTATGTTACGTGAATATTTCATGGTACCATTACAGGGTGGTCCAGCTTGTCTGCGCAGGTTTTAGGTATGTGTCCAGCTCATACCTGTGGGATCAAGACAATGTTAGTAGTATACACACAGATGAACACAACTTCCATTCTGTAGCATGTCTATATACTGTACACAATCTGCTACAGCAGGCATGGTTTTGTGGCCCACATTTGGAGGCTATGAGGACTTCTGAGTATATGGTCCCTTCACCTCTTTGTTAGGCTCCAGAGCCTGTGTTTGTTTTCAGTGTTGTTCTAATTATCTGAAGGTGGTATAGGTTTCCTTGCTAATACTGCTTCCTTTGGTGCATCTGGCTCCATCCAAGCCCCTTGATAGAGGTTGTCAGGTTCCTAGGGCTACTTATACCTTGTGCTGGCACCTACATATTTTTCATTCAGCTGTGTCCTTAAGTGGGGGAGGTCCTGTATCCCATTTGCAGCTTGTTCTGCAGTTTTACTGTTTGCACAGTGCCTGTTTTAAGAGAGTTGTTTAGTGGAAACTGCGTTGGGACGTCCTAATGATCAGAGATCAAGATCTCAACTGTGCCCTTCAGTGAATGTAAGAGAAAATCAGATTTGTTTGTACTCACCATAACCTCCTTTTCTCTGTGTTCATTGAAAGACATGGTACCCACTCCTCTAGTTGTTTGGGGTCCAGTTGTTCTCATTATACTGTTTTGTGATTAACTGAGCTGCCGCTAGTAGACAGAGAATTTGGCCACTGTCAGGGGCAACCCCTCAGCTTTGTTTTGCTTTTTATTTTATTTTTTCTTAGTGCCCTACTTCAAAAATGGCTCTATAATCCAATGGTCAGAGATCATAATCTCAGCTCTGCCCTTCAGCGAACACAGAGAAAAAGATTTCATGGTGATTACAAAAAAATCCTATATTCCTTTTTAGATGTTTTTAAGGAGTAGGTTTCATGGCTGATTCTAAGAATTTCTGGACAGTCTCAAGTGTCTTTGTTTCCACACTATACTTAATTACCATGCAATGGATGAGGATGGTTTGTAAATTTGTAACACTTTGTTAGGACAGTCAATGCTCAAATATAGTTTCCAGCTGATAATGAAGAACTGTGAACACAGTACAGATGGAATTAATTAAGTTAAACATTGCAAAGCAGGAAAAACATGTATGGATTGTAAGAAAACGCACTTGAAAAGGTGACCAGCAATTTTATTTTTTCAAAGTTATGCTATGTTAATGGTAACATGTAACAAGTATAATGTTTAAAGAATAAGTTCACCTTACGGAACGTGTTACATGTTCCACCTGTTTTTTAGGATGGGACATGTAACATGTTCCCAGTGCTGCAGCCACTGCCCCATCCCTCCTTGTGACGGAAGTATGGGGAGAAGTTCCCCGTACAAGCTGTCACTTTTTAAAAACAGTGCAGCCATGCAAGGCTCCACCCACAAGACCGCGTCATTTATTCACAGTGTTCTGTGCATGAGAAACAACGTGTGTATTCCTGCGCTCAGATAAACATATAAATAAAGAACAAAATAGAAAAGCTACTGGCACAGTTAATGGGATACATCCAAAAAAAAAAAAAAAAACCATGTGGACCACTCATAAATTAAGTGCATTAAATTTGACAATACATGAGTAATAATGCTTTATATTTACAAAGTGAATAATTGTAACATTCAGTCCAAGTTCGGAAAAATAAAGTGCCCAAGTGTTGAATACTAATTGGTGAATTTCATGCAAAAAATGACAGGCGCTCCTCTGTGCTCAATCAGTGCCCCACATGGATGTGCACTCACCATTAGCCATGGACCACCTATCTCTAGGTTGGTCTTAAGCGCTTGGTTTGGGACTAGCCCAATGTGTGATGGCAAGAATGGCATCAATATTCATTCCTGGGAATCATGCAATCTGGCTGATATAGTAACCAATAGGCTGATGACCAGCGTGGATATAAATGACAATGTAGTTTCAAAAGAGTCTTTTTAAACTTTCTGGGGTTCTTAAAGGGGAAAAAACCCTTGCTTACCAATAATGCCTAAATCTTTTAACAGAATTTTAAAAAGATGTAAACCAATACAGTATATTCCCAAAGGGAGTCATAAATTCTGTCAGGTTTGAACACTTTGAGCTGTATTGTACATACAGTATGTAACATCCCTTATTCTAGGATATTTGGTCTGAGTGGCTTGTCCCCTTTAAGACAAATTTTGATTTACATCAGGCAGTTTAGTAAAGTATGGGAGAGTATATTCCCCTTTAATTAGCTTTTCCAGCATAGAGATTGACACAGAACAGTTTTTTAAACTGTATGTAGAATACAGCTCAGTATGCAACCCTGACAGAATTTATGACTCCCTTTGGAAATATACTGTGTTGGTTTACATCTTTTTAATTTGTTAAAAGATTTAGGCATTATTGGTAAGCAAGGGCTTTTTCCCCTTTAAGAACCCCATCGCTGTATTTTATGCACTAAATGTACTTTATGATTTAATTTTAAGTTTTGTTTACTAGCCCAAGCATATCTGGCATATGTACACTGTATTCAGCAATGTTGCAGGTAATTATGGATAGATTTGGGCAAGTAATCAAGTGACACAGCTGCAGCAAGTGATTTAATCACTGCTGTGTATAAATACCATCTCTGAAATAGCAGATCTTACATCCCTGATGAAGATCCATTGATCTAAACCAGTCGACGTTTGAAGACGCAACTTCTGATGACGACATTTCCGCCCTTTGGTACACATGTTGGAACACTGCGGCCATCTTGGTTCCTAATCTCGGACAGCAAGGCTGAATACACTGAGTGCCAGGTTATGGGCACTTTGCTTGTGAGTTTTATTCTTATAATTTCTCCCCATCATTAAATTCTTCAAACCTAGAGATAGGTGGTCCACGGCTAACGGTGAGTGCACATCCATGTAGGGCACAGAGGAGCACCTGTCATTTTTTGCATGAAGTTCACCAATTACCGTATTTTCCGGCGTATAAGATGACTTTTTTTTACTTAAAACATACCCCAACAATTGGGGGTCGTCTTATACGCCGGGTATAGAACCCGCTGGATGTGCGGTAATACTGTACGGTAGCTTCAGCTACATACAGTGTACCACGCTGAGCCAATCACGGCGAGCGATGTATTCTATTAATGAATACAGAGCCTGCTCGACTGGCTGAAGTTGTGACATCATCAGCCCGCCTCTCTAATGCAGCCAATCCGAGCAGGCTCTGTATTCATTAATAGAATACATCACTTGCCGTGATTGGCTCATATGACGTCCTCCCATTCTCCGCGCATGTGCGGTAATGCGCTGTGTCCCTTGGACACAGCGGATCACCGATCACGGAAAGAGCCAAAGATGCCGGCTCGGGCATGTGATCAGCTGTGTCCAATCACAGCTGATCACATGTAAACAGGGAGATGCCGGTTATCGGCATTTCTCTCCTCTCGAGCTGTCACGCTGACAGAGGAGAGGAGAGCCGGTAATTGGCTTTCCGCAGAGGGGACATGTACACTGATCATCAGGGCACTGATGATCAGTGTGCCCTGATGATCAGTGTAGCCCCAGCCGTGCCAGCTGTCAGTGTCCATCAGTGCCACATCAATGCCACATATCAGTGCCCATCTGAGCTGCCTTTCAGTGTCACCCATCAGTGCCACCTATCAGTGCCACCTATTAGTGCCAGTCAGTGCTGCCTATCAGTGCCATGTATCAATGATGCCTGTCAACGCATATCAGTGCTGCCAATCAGTGCACCTATCAGTGCGCATCAGTGCCACCTATCAGTGCGCATCAGTGCCACCTAACAGTGCCAGTCAGTGCTGCCTATCAGTGCCATATATCAGTGCCATGTATCAGTGCTGCCTTTCAGTGCCCATCAGTGATGCCTGTCATTGCCCATCAGTGCCACCTACCAGTGCCTCCTCATCAGTGCCACCTATTTCATATGGGTACAGTGTTGCATGACAGTGCAATTGTCATTCAAAGTGTGACAGCGCTGAAAGCTGAAAATTGGCCTGGGCAGGGGTATAAGTGCCCTGTAGGCAAGGGGTTAAATGGTGTTGCCTCAGAAGGGGGGTAGTCTTATACGACGAGTATAGCCCAAAACCTATGTTTTAACTGGAAAATTAGGGGGTCGTCTTATACACACAGTCGCCTTATACGCCGGAAAATACGGTATTATTCAAAACTTGGGCACTTTATTTTTCCGAATTTGGACTGAATGTTACAATTATTCACTTTGTATATGTGAAGCATTATTACTCATGTATTGTCAAATTTAATGCACTTAATTTATGTGCGGTCCACATGGTATTTTGTTTGTTTTTGTGTTATTGGTTCACAAATTAGGACTGCAGCGTATACTTATCAAAGTTGCATGAATATCTATTCCTATGCGCAACAGCACTATATTTTATTTAATGAGATACAACCAACTTTACAAAATATAAATCAAAAAGTGCAGCGCTAAATTGACAGTCTAACAAAATTGTGCTCCTGTAACAAAAGTCCAAACAGAGAAGCGTGATTAGTCACTTCAGAGAACATGTCTCCACTGCTCTAGAGTCCAGTGGCGTCATGCTTTACACCACTTCATCTGACACTTTGCATTGCACTTGGTGATGTATGGCTTGGATGCAGCTGCTCAGCCATGGAAACCTATTCCATGAAGCTCTCTACTCATTGTTGTGCTAATCTGAAGGCCACATGAAGTTTGGAGGTCTTTAGCTATTGACTCTGCAGACAGTTGGTGACTTCTGTGCACTGTGAGCTCCAGCATGCACTGACCCCGCTCTGCCATTTTACGTGGCCTACTACTCCGTGGCTGAGTTGCTATTGTTTCCAATTGCTTCCACTTTGTTATAATACCACTAACAGTTGACTGTGGAATATTTAGTAGCAAGAAAAGTTCACGGATGGACTTATTGCACAGGTCCTATCACAGTACCACGCTTGAATTCACTGAGTTTCTGAAAGCTACCCATTCTTTCACAAATGTTTGTAGAGGCAGTCTGCATACCTAGGTGCTTGATTTTATACACCTGTGGCCATGGAGGTGATTGGAACACCTGAATCCAATGATTTGGAGGGGTGTCCCAATACTTTTGGCAATATAGTGTATGTGCAAATAGTGCTTCCAGAGGATCCAAAAGGAAAAAAGAAGTGCCCACTAGTCCAATACCATTGAAGGGAAAAGAACACCTTGGAAGTCCAATGGTAATAAAAGTAAAATAGATGCTTACCAGAATTAGTAGGCCTTCGAATTAATGAAAACGCCAACAGCGCTTTAGGGAATAACCTCAAACCAGTTCTTGGCTGATGATGGGATACAGTTCCAACTCTGGACTCCACTCAAACTCCACTCTCAAGTCTGTGAGCATATAAAATATAAAACCTCATAGTACAGTATATCCTTCCCCAGTGGTGGGGCATGAGAGAGGGTTGTCTAAGCGGCTGTCAGCTTGTAGTTCTCAATGAACTACCACAGCGCTGTGGAGTATCGTGGTAGTTCATTGAATCTCCCTGTCAGTGTATCTGCTTATCTGTACATTGCAAGCAGGTATACTGACAGATCTGCTGAAGATCTGCATGGCGCCAGTGATCTGCTGATTGCTGGTGCAATGTTTTACAGGCTCTTGCAACCAAAAATAATAAATGCACATTTTTCTGCAGGTAAAAAAAATTGAGTTTATCCTTTAATTGAAGTAATGTTTTATTTGTCAACCCATTTTCTGCAATCCTCACTACAGAAAATATCTGCATCAGATTGAATAGTGTTGTTTGGGAATTATATTGATGAAAGTTGAAAAGCTTTAGAATCCGTTAGAACATTATATTACAGACCAAATGATTAGTGTGCATTTTGTTGTTTATAAGTTCTGCTTTATGATAAATTCCATTAACCATGATAAAATCCTGGAACTGATATAATTAACTGTGACGGCTCTTTAGACAGTTTGATGTATACTTCATATAAAAAAAAATTATCCCACTATTGTGTCCAGTGTAAACAGTTTACTGCCTGTAAAAAGATTTACACAAACTTCATCTGTTTGATTAGTGTAGAGAACAGTAGATATAGACATTCATCACAAACGCTTGTGGAGCTTCAGTGCTTGAAAAGTGGTAACAATAATTATCTACCTGGAACATCATGCAGATCTGGCATCATGAAAGGTTCTCTTTGATGTGTGGGATAGATGCATTGTTTGTTCAGAGCTGACCTGTCACTCTGTGATGAGAGAAATGCTGGTGACACTGCAGGGAAATGGAGAAAGAGGTGTGTTGGAAAATCACAATATGTGTGCTTATGCTGTCTTGGTAAACAGAATTTTTTAACTCTCAAAGGGCTATAGTAAGGAGATTGTTTTACTCCAGTGGCTGTAGTTGTTTCCTTGTGGTTTGTGGGGAGGAAAGAAACAACTATTCAATTACATATGTTTTTCTACACAAAGGCTACTTTTAAGAGTAAATAATGTACACAGAGTGAAGTGGCCAACAGTATCTCATATTAAGCTCTGACTACAGAGTGCAATGGTCAGGAGTATGAAATTTACAACACAGTGTCTTTATTTCATGGTTTCGGATTTTGTAACACAGAGAGTGCAGGACTCAGGGATGTGTAACTCAGACAGTGCAACAAATAAATAAGGATAATGGGCGGTTAGGACACAGAAGAATGAATAGGTCTCCTAAAGAGACACATGTAAGTGTTTACAACAATGTGTAAATTACAAAAAGTTTATTCAATAGAAATTTAGTTAAAATGCTTTCTATGATACTGAAACCATAATTTACAAAAATACTTTAGATGATCACTCTTCAGTCCACATGGCATCAAAATACAGACAGATCCTGCTGTGAAGTAGATATTTATTTCAGTTACTTATATAGCGCTGTCAATTTACACAGCGCTTTACATATATATTGTACAATCACATCAGGCCCTAACCCTCAAGGGGCGTACAATCTAAGGTCCCTAACTTACATCCATACACATACTAGGGCCAATTTAGACAGGATCCAATTAACCTACCAGCATGTCTTTGGAGTGTGGGAGGAAACCGGAGTACCCCGAGGAAACCCACGCAGGCACAGGGAGAACATGCAAACTCCAGGCAGGTGGTGCCGTGGTTGGGATTCGAACCAAAGACCCTAGTACTGCCAGGCGGAAGTGCTAACCATTTAGCCACTGTGCTGCCCAGATATGTTCATGTGGACAGGTCCAGTGCATTTTGATAGCATTCTTCTTTAGGTGATAGAATGGTAATCATATAGAAGGTACATAGTTGTACAAAATCAGCCAAATGGATTAAAAACGGAGCTCCAGGCTTTATAACCTTCCCCCTGCATGTCACCTAGGTCAATATAGAGCAGAGGCACTTCAGGTAGCCCAGTACAGCTCAATAAAATTCTACCAGTACAGACTGGATGAAAATTATGGATCCTCTGGGTTTGGATAATCTCAGAATTTTTTTAACTATGATTCAAACTCTTCCATAAACTTTCTATTTTGTTTATAGTGTCGGCCAAAATATGTAATAAAGTATCTTAATCCGATTTGCATAGCCAACATAAATCTTAGGTGGTACTATAGAATTTATATAGGGTGGATAGGGTCCTTTACTACCTGGTTAGTATTCTGAAATTTGTCTCATGAAAGTGCAAATGTATGATTTCTACGAGAAGTGCATAAAATCCCAACAAAGTATGGGGCATTGAATTATTGTATTGGTACTGCAGGTTAGGCCTAGAGTATGGATAAAAAGTGACTTAACATATCAGTGTCAGTGCATAGCTGTTTGAAAGTGGTTGTTGGTCTAATGTAGTGTGTCAGAGAAGGTAGAGCGGTCAACAAATATCCAAGCTGAAGTGCTTTTCAGGGTTCGAGGCCTAAATGATAGTCTTGTTTTGTGTGAAGTGTTTCCGGTGCTTGTCATATTTTTGGAGAAGAAAATACATAATGGGTCGGTAAGGGAACCTAGGATGAATCCTGGATTGTCCATGTTGAAGTATAAGGCCCCATGTCCATTGCAGCTCCTAAACATGAGTTTGAGCTTCTGGCCTTTGTGTGCCAAAACTCTTAAATTCAGCTGAAAAGCCCATGTGTCCATGCATACATAGGCTTTTATCACAGTTTAGCAGCAGTGTTTATGTGCAGAAGAAACGCATTCAGGAGAGGAACTTTTTGGCCAAAAAACACAAAACATAGCAAAAACACATGTATCGGTAAACGTGCCTAAGCGCCATCTGTGTTTAGCTCTTGGATGTTACTTTTCAATGGCAAGTACTCTGGCCAATTGTATAAACTACCAAGCGCCAGACGCAGCTAAATGTGGTACCACGTTCACATGCTTTTTTTGCCACATTTTGCATTTTTCATCAGCCAGGAGAGCCTGGTGTCCAAGGGAGGGTGTACATGTAGCCTAAGGGGGATTCTCTTGGGGAAAGAGCATTCTTCATAAGAACTGTAGAACATGTGCCAAATGATGGTCTGATAGTAGGATACAGCTCTAAGCTAAGGGGAATATGGTGTGCTCACCAAGGGTATTTGCTAAGGGGGAAGTTAGAGGAAGCTTGTTCAGTTGTTATTCATTGTTAAATTCTGGCATGTCTACTACAGTCATTTAGCTCCATTCCCCACCCCCCCTTGACAAGCTGTGTGGTATGTACAGTAATAACATCAGGTAGGGCAATGCCTTCATAGGATTTTGGTAAGGTCAGTAGAGATTGTTTGAGTCTATGGCACTTGTTGGGACATATAAAACTCATGGTGTTAACATTTTGG